AGCTTTAAACCTAAACAGGAAAGAAAGTTAAAAAGTAAAACCAAACTAGGAGAGACTTCATTTGGGTTTTGATTAATTACTATATTTTTACACAAATAATGATGCATCACACATTGTTGTTGTTGTTTTTCCAAACCAGGCAACACCCTTATGCTTGAGCTTCCACTGCAACTATGAACATTGTATGTGTGTGAGCTCTTGGTGTGGGCAGGTTATATGCACAACTACAGTTCCTGCAAACCACCCCTGGTTTTGTGCCAGGTGCCAGGGAGTCCATTTGGATTCAGATTGGCCCTGGGGTCGGAGTAGAACTGCTCCAGAGGACTTTCCTGGCTACAATCTTTAGACCACAGTTCACCAGGTCTTTCTTCTGCAGTCACTTGGTTGGTTTGTACCGCCAGCCTGATCCCCTGGTGAAAATGTAACCACAGTAGGTGGGTAGTTCTTATCTGGTTACTTTCGAGTTTCACTTGGGATAGGGGTGGGAAGAAATCACCTCGACAAACATCCAAAGGAGTCTTTTGTATCTGCTATGGTGGCATACAAAGCCACATCGGTTCATTCATTTATATTAGGGAAAATGAGAGAAATCCTTAATGAGATGGCGAGATGCAATAGCTGGAGCCACAGCCTTGAACACAGCAGTGATCATGGAGACAGCACAGTTCATTCTGTTATACAGAAATCTCAGTGATTCAGGGTTGATCACATGGCAACAGCAAGTTTCGGGGGAGAAAATAAAAGTGATTAGTATAAACTTTGGTTGTAGAGTTGTAGCAGCTGTTTACACATATAGAGTAAAAATATAATAATGAAGCTTAGAGTGAAAAAGTCTACTGCTATTTTCCTTTGAGCCAACTCTGACTCCTGGTGACTCCATGTTTGTCAGGGGAGATCTGTGTTCTGTTGGGTTTTCTGCAGAAGAATTGTTTTAGAAGTAGGTCTCCAGGCCTTTCTTCCATGGCACCATTGGGTGGACATGAACTTTTAAACTTTTCAGTGAATGGCTGAAGGCATTCACCTTCACAGCACCCAACAGTTCCAAAATGGTCATGAGATATTGCCTAATGAAACCCTTTCACTTTACAGATCAGAAGAATTCAGAGAGACTAGATGACTTGCCTACGGTCACAAAGCTAGTTACAGCCACCACTCTTGTCCCACAATGAAGCACACTTTTCATTTTCGTCTAAGAGTAAATCAATTACAGGGTGTCCAGGGAGTTCATTAGAAAGTAGCGACTGTTAGCATTAAGGAAAAGAGCTGCTCAGTAGTTTCGTTTATTAGTATTTTCAGTAACGGTACAGGAAAAGAAAGGAATTTGTGCTTATCGAAGGTATTACTTTTTCTAATGAATTTTTTTTTTCATTTACTGCTTTGTATTACTTGAAATTCGACTTTCCACTAGAAATCTGAAAATAACAGGTGTAAGGGTCATCAGAGATGCACTGGAGATCGTGGCCTCTGCCTCAGGAGCATAGAGGACACAGCAAGCTGAAGTGATGCTGTGTCCTTCCTTCTACAATCGCTCTCATCCTACCAGTACTAGCAGGCTTCCTGCATGCGGGCCTCCATCCATCTCCTTTCTAGGAGATCATCACTCAGGTTGTCAGACTAACTACTTCCACCCCGGCTGTTTTACAGGATTGGAGGAATGGCCACTTAGGACAGAAGGACAGATGGCAGAGTGACTTTGGACTGGGTTTCTTTCCTGCTTTGATCTGCTTTATGAGTCAAAAAATTCCATCTTTTCTCTCTTTATCTGGGGCCAACTTGACAATAATAACGCCTATGATTACATAGGAACCTACGGGGTCCATGTGTCTATTTTAATTGGGAAGGGGACAACTCGGAAAAGGAGGATAAGAAAGGTTGCACAACTTAGAGAATGTAATCAATGCCCATGAATTGTAACTGGAAAAACCATTGAATCGGTGTATTGCTTGGCTGTGTATATTCTCAACAGCAACAACAAAAATAAATGCTATTTTTAAAAACATCTCTTTGGTTTGAGGGGTTTCTTTACCCCGGAGGTCTTTTCAACCCTATCCCTTGAGCAGTTATCATTGTCAGGGGTCCTCAAATCTGTTTCAATGCATAGAGAGTGAAGAATGTTCAAGAGAATGGAAAGCTGCCTGCCCCTCCCTGCTCTCACCATCGTTTCCTAAGCTTGAGCCCACTGTTACCTTCTTTAAATAAACTAACAAGGTTTTGCAAGAGGAGGGGTTCCAGAGGCCAAAAGGTTCAAGCTAGGAGCTTTGGTGTCTCGGTGGGATAAGCATTATACTGCTCACAAGCTCAGTGCTTCATACCAATCAGCCACAGGGTGGGTGAAAAATAGGGTTGTCTGCTCCCATAAGGACTGTCAGTCTCAGAAACTCACAAGAGCAGTTCTACTCTCTCCTATAGGGTTACTATGAGTCAGAATCAACTCGATGGCAGTGGGTTAAGTCCAACCTGTCACTTACTGCAGATAAAAAAACCTTTCTTTAGGAAAGTAATCATTCTTAAAGAAAGTTCAAGCTTTCTACTCCCTAAAAGTTACAATCTCCAAAAGCCACAGGGGCAGTTCTACCTTTCCCTATAGCGTCCCTATAAGTCAGAACTGGCATGATGGTGATGAGTGAGTTAATATAAATGTAGGAAGAATGCCCCAGTATAAGAATGACATTGTTCTGTTCGGATAGAGAGAATGACATGTAGGTTCAAACTACATGTCACCCTTCGGTTATCAGCTGACCACAACCATTTTTGCCACTAAGGCTCCTTCGGCTCACAGTAGTTATAAATACAGCAGAACTAAATTGGGTTTCTGGCAGCCCATTTCACCAATATTCTTTGAAATTTCTCAACCTTAACATAGCAGTGACTGTTAGCTGTATGCGTAGAGACTAGGACTAACCAATAAATAGTGCAGTGGTTGAGAGCATGAGTCTTGGAGTCAGAAGGACCTTCAGATGAGTCCTAACTCTGAATATGAATCCTGCCTACATGCAGCATGACCCTGGGCATGTCATTTAACCTAAGCTTTAGTTTACAAGTTTATGAAACTAAGATAAAAAGGTTTATCTTGGTTTATATAAATGGGAAACACTTAGTACCAAACCAAATACATTACCACTGAGTCAATTCCAACTCTTGGCGACCTTATAGAACAGACTAGAAGTGGCCCCAAAGGTTTCCAAAGCTCTGAATCTTTGTAGAAGCCAACTATAACATCTTTTTTTCACGGAGTGGTTGGTGAGTGCAAACTGATTAGTCTCGGAAGAAGTACGACCAGAATGCTCCTTAGGGGCAAGAAGAGCGAGATTTCGTCTCATGTACTTTGAACATGTTGTCAAGACAGACCAGTCCCTGAAGAAGGACATCGTGCTTGGTAAAGTAGCAGGGCAGCGAAAACGAGGGTGACCTTTGACAAGATGGACTGATACAGTGGCTGCATTGATAGGTACATACATAAGGACAATGGTGAGGATGGCACCGGCCGGCAGTGTTTTGTTCTGTCATATGCAGGGCATCTATGAGTTGGAACTTAGTCGATGGCACCTAACAACCACCACCACCACCACCACCTTTTGGTTAGGAGCCTAAGGCTTTAACCACATACAATCCAAGATGCATCCTTTGCACAATGCTTGGCAAATGAGCAATGCTCACTTAACATATCCTTTATACCAAAGTTCATATAAAGGAGCTTGAGGAAGATCAGTGTATCAAGATTTGTAAAAAATATGGAAAATGTGGGTGTTAAAGTAAACAAGCAGAGTAGTTTTCTGTCATGGATGGGAAAACACCTCAATATCAGCTCGGAAGACTCCATAGCAACTTACACATATTTTCAACCATATGGATCTTTTCTTCTGTTATAAACTATATTTAGCACATATAAAACGTTCATATTGAAAATACTTTATAAGTAAGTAGAAATTTATTTTGAGAGTAAAAGAAATTTAGAAACCCAAGTGGAGCTTCAAGATGAATTTAAACATTTATATATTAACAATTAAAATGAGAGACTGTTTGTTTTGAACAAAATCATAATGTTACTAAATTAACTGATTTTGTATTCTGCCATAACCAGAACTTGGCTCTATTCTGTGATGTTATTCAGCTTCCTGAAAAAAAAAATGAATTAAAAAAAAATAACAACAGGAAATTACTTGAAAATTTACTTAATGTAACAATCTTGTACTCTAGAATTTAATTTTAAGAAAATAAGTAAAATTATAGCTATGTGTATAAATATTTTTAAAATGATAAATTGAAAGATCCACAAAAATTCATCAAATGAAAATTCTCAAACATTTAAACCGTATAATTTATGAACCTATTTAAGAAAGATACCTCAGGGATTTTATGGAAAAGTAAGCCCAATCATAATTTTCAAAATAATTATATTTCACTTTCACTTCTATTCACTAGTGAGAAACTAAACCATCACAGGAAAAAGTTTACTGTATCACAATAATTTCG